AATTAAAATAAGAAATGGTGAAAGTAAGCAATCGATTACTCTCAAATGCTTTTCCTGATGATGTAATCCAAGTTAAACGAATTTATTGTTCACGTCAACCATTCCTTAAAAATTCCTTCGCAGTAATCATGAAACGATTTCCAAGATAACTGGACATTGGTCATTTCTTCGCACTAAATTCTTCATCAGTTCATACCACATCCTTGCTTCTCTTCTTATCAGGAAATTCATTATTTTCTAGCATTCTAAGTTATCAGTTGAATATTTCGGCATTATTGCTGGTCATAACAAACATTATGCCATACTGTAATTACTTCATTTTTTATTCATTGACCATTGAATGAAATGCTTTGTCGCTGTTCTATTAATCAAATTTCTTAATGTTTATGCAAAAGATTGTGATAAGTTATTAATTGTCAAAGTCAGGAGGACTTAAAGGTTTATAAAATTATCCAAAATGTAAAAGTAGGAATGTTTTGTCAGAAATATGCTTTCTAACTTTTCTTAACTTGCAATTATTTTTTGTAAATTTTTCCTGAGATGTTTAAAAAAATTGAAATGTCCCCATAAAATTTGATCATTTGATTGCTGTACAAAATGCTAATATTCATGTTTACAATATAAATATAATGGTTAATTTGTGAATATTACCAGAAACATTTTGATTGAATTATTGTTTGAAAGCTTAAAGATCATTAACCATATACCTCCCCTACCTATTTGTATCTTACATCTTAGTGTTACCACGCTCACTCATTTACTCACTCATTCACTCTTTGCTTATTGGTGAATAAGTATTACTAGTGTTTCAAGCAAACTTTTGCTCTCTACTCTCTCTCTTCTTCCCTTTCTTTACCTCTTCCTTTTTCTCTCTCTCTCCTCCTGTTCTTTTCATGAGATGATAATTTCTTTTCTGTGAAAAGTGTTCAAATTCATTCTCTCATTTATTTTAGCATTTCTTTGATGTTGTTTGTTGCATTTATTGATACCTTTAGGCGGGATTGTTTATGTCCATCACTTTTATCATTTTATCATTTTAGTCTTCATCTTTAATCAAAAGGTCATCTAATTTTGATTGATTTCTCTAACGTTCTCTTAAACATATCACATTTTGAATTCAAATTTCTAACACTCTCATCCACATTTACCTTTTGCAAATATATTCTTTGGTTTAATCACTGATAGCAGTTCTAACCATATTTAGTCATCTTTGAATTTAATTTCTGATATCTGCAGCATCAGATGTTGCAGATTCTGATGTTGCAGATGTTCGATTCTGGATTTAAAATAAAGACCATCAATTAATTTCTTGCTCTCTACAGATTTTATGTTAGAACAGAAATTTTATAAATGTTTTTCTCGCTTTCTTGTCATTTATATCTATCACATAATTTTAATAGTTATTTTTGAAAGGGGAATCTTTTGTTCTATTTTTTTCATCGATTCACGCCTTCTTTCTGTTTGCTTTTTTTCCAATTATAAACTTCAACTATTATATCGATTGGTGGTAAATTTGATAGAAAACAGATTATGCATTAAATAATAGAAATAATTTTATTTATAAGGGTAGCTGTATGACTTCTAGCATGAAGCTTACGTGAAATGAAGTTTTAGTTTAAAAACTTTAGAAGCTTTAATATGTTCAAATTTAGCTTTAAATTAAAACCTTTACGTCAAATTTTTAGGTGGAATTTATAAAAGTTTTATTTATGCATTTGTTTACACATTTAATATTTGCTCAAATGATCTATCGATCTGTAACAGTTGTTCCATCTTCAAATGAATAGTGATAATGTTCAGAGGTCCATTAGGAAATGTACATCCGAATGATGAAAATCTTTTTTTATACCTTCAATGATCTATCATCTCGCATTACAGCAAGACGCCTAAATCTTCAATCAGCAATTCGCAAATATTCACTTTCCACCACTTTGTACTAATCTTCATATATGCATATTCTAAGGTCCTGATCTGATCATCTAATCACGCTTATATGTCAGTATAGTTTTTCTTAGACTAATAATAACGTATTGAAAGTTTCATAGTGCAAATCCTAATTTTCTTTCTCTTTCTCGTTTTCCTTAGTATGAGATAAAATAATCCAAACCATTAATAACCTTAAAGTGGGTCATAAAATGAAATGAATTATTTCATTATTATAATTACCATTATATTAAATACCCCAGTGCAAAACTTATGTGTGTGCTCTTTCGTTGTAAAACAAGAAAAGTCTTTATTGTTATTATTATTATT